CAGGCCTCTCAACACATCGGAGTGTATATACAACACAGCCACTGAGAAAGGGGCCTTCTTGGTCCCGACATGATGCTCCTGTCAGGGCCTTTGACAGAACTCCAGAGGTCTCAGGCTATGTTCATGGAGAGCTCCAGAAGTACAAAACAATCTGTCATTCACTTCATCCCTCCACATGGTACGTGCACCAACCCTGCCCCACTGCTCAGACACAGGCCTGTCAAGGAAGGGGCCTGCCCATCTGATTTACTGATATTCCAGATATCCAGTCCCCTCATGGCAGTTAGGAGAGAACTGTAGGGGCAACACATGCATGGAGCTGTGATTGCAATGGCAGAACTGGGGAGCGTAGGTAGAGGTGTGTGGGGCCCAGGACTGGAATATCAAAGACTACTACTGGCAGAACTGACCAAGCAAGGGAGAGGAGTCAGCCCAGGCCCACCAGAGGCATGCCTTGTTCAAGCCAAGAGAACAGCTCCATTCTCTAGCATGCCTGCTGAAATTCACTGACAAAGTAAAGACTCACACAACCCAGCTGACAGCAGCACATTTTGCTATTTGCCCAAACTTCCCTCCAAGCATCCCTGCAGCCTGCACTTAGCAGAAGCAGCCTGTGCCTGCCACAGGGAATCCAGTGAATGCGGGAAGCAAGTGCATCCAGTGGGAAATCTGGCCACTATGTGACTGCTATGCTAAAGTCCAAGGTTTAGCAAATTTGTCAGCAGTTATTGATTGGAAAAATTAAGCAAGGATTTTTTTTTCTATTGGGATAGAATTACCAGGAATTACACAGAAAGCTCCTCTGGGCCAGAGAAATAAGGAATATCTTTTCTATAGTATTTGTATAATCAGCTGCACACATACGCACACACAGACCTTTGCACATGGGCATCTTCATACACAATCCTTTTTGCATCACCCTGTCTTCACAGAGCAGTGCACACACACACGTAGACACACACACAGAAACACACCAGCACCAGAGCAGGCATAAATGGAAAACACTAATGAAGTCACTGGAGCTAGAGCAGCCGAGAATCTGCCAGAGTGACATGCCAGTTGGTAGCTGGGTGCATATAACCTGACCATCCACAGTAGTACAAAAAAAGCCTCTGTTAAGGGCAACTTGGATGCCCATCACTTCCTCTAACTCACAGCAGAGAATTCACAATGCTTCCCCCTGCCCCCATCCTCCAACCAGGATGTCCTCCCCACTCACACCAGGGGATGCCTGCAAGTGGTGCTGCTCTAGGCAGGAACGGATGTAGGAGAAGGAATTCCTCCTCCTTTTCTCCCTGTACCTATCCCTCTCTACCCCCATCAGTCCTTTGCTGATGAGCCCCCAGTTTGTCGGGTGCTGTCACTGACCATTCCCTTGGCCAGCTGCCCACTGAGTCTCTCCAGCATCCCTTGCTGTCAAGCCCCATCCTTGCCTATTTCCTTTTCCAGCCTCCCTATCTTCTATCTCCAGATTCTTCAATAGAAAATCACTGACGAAATAGGACCCTTTACTAGGCCCCTCCAAACTAATTCATTTATTTCACCACCTCTCTCTTCCTCTACTATACTGGAGGCTTCTCCCTTCCCCTCCTCCCAAAATGCTCCCTGCACCCCTGGGGCCAAGAGGGCAGCTCTGCAAAAGCCTTTGTGAAGACTCCAGAGTCACTTCATGAATGACAGGAACCCACCCCCATCCCACCCCTACCCCTCGCCAGAGCCCCAAGCACTTGCAGTACAACACGCAGACTCAGACAGGGCCATGGACAGAACGCATACCCAGCTCACCAGAATCTCCTTCAGGCTGTTCAGTCCCGTCTGGGGGCCCTGGACACCGGCAGGGAATCCAGTGAATGTAGGAGGCAAGTCAAGGTGCCTACAACTCAGGGAGCAAGAGACAGAGTTGAGAAAAAGATCCTGTCTCTCCCCTCCTTCTGTCCCTCCCCTTCAACCAGATCTCCATGCCAAATTATTGCCAACTTCACTTGTGGGAGGTGAAATTGGAAAAAGGGGTGTGTGCATCAGAGGGGGGGGGGGGGGGGGGGAGAGCGCA